TTTAAAGAAAAGTAAAGTACATGATTTTTTTAATGGGATACTGTCTTCGTGAGTGTGATAATCTTTGCCAGGGTACAAGCTACTGGCATTTTGTTGGGCAATCCATGAAACACACCACGTGCAGTCAACTACTAATTTTAATACTGAAAGATGCTAGGAAGTTTTTCATCAGTATTCAGGTGAATAAGCATCGCATCTATAAATAACAGGACGGTGGGGGGGGAAGTGAATTAAAAAAAAAAAAAAATTGGTCTAAAATTTCTAGGTAACTTTGGGACGGGAGGGTGTTGAAGAACCAGGCATTGAGAATTATGAAAAGAGTTATACTTCATACTTCACAAGGAATTTTTAAGCTAATGGGAGGAAGTGGTTTGGTCATGCAAATAAAATGTAGAGTGGATGTGTGCCGTATAACGAGGTTTAAAAAAAAAAAAAAAAAAGAGCAAGTAATTGTTTATGTTGATTGCTTATGCAGTTGTCTGTAAATTAAGAGGGTAACTATATTTAATCCAGGCAACCCTGGCTAGCCATTGGTCCTGACACTGAAATTTAGTATTGGAAGACTATTTTTGAAAACCAAGTAATGTGCTAGAGAAATCGGGGAACTGATGGAATTGTTGCAGTTGGGATTACAAAATCCTTCATTGATTACTGGGTAGATTGTTACTCTACTTTGTAAACTCTATATATCTCTGTATATATCTCTGTAATGCCTGAATTACATTGTCAGGGAGCAGGAACAGGGTGCACTCCTGCTGCGAGTCTCAGATACTTGGTTGGAAAGAACTTTGTTTCTGCTGCCCAAAAACTTCACATTTGTGGGTTGTGTGTTTGGTTGTGCATTTTTCTGTTTTTAATTTGGTCCAGTGCTGGTCAAGAAAACTTAATGTTGTAGGGTTTATTTCATGCCACTGGCATCACCTGTTGTGCAATAACAATCTTTTATATTTTGGCATCTAAGCTCCTTCTTTAAAGGGTGGTAGAGTCAAAAGTACAGTGTGCTGAGGAGTTAAGTCTTTTAGCAATTCAGGGTTTCCTTCTATTTCAGTGCAGTGGAGAAAAAAACAACTAACTGACTTTTTTCTCCCCAACTTAGAAGAAAAATGGTTTTCTTTATTGGAAGCAGATCAGGGTAAATCCCTCTGCAGACTTGATCTTGAGTCATGCATACCCAAGTGCTGTTCTAAATGCTACTGCTGCAGCAAGCCATGGGTCAGAGGTTGTCTGAAACCTGCAGGTATCAACAAAGTTCAGCTAGAAGGTATTTTGTGTACATTTTAACTCCGACTCTTGTACTACTGATGCCTCAAGCAGCAAAAACTTAAGACCTTTTTGAAATAGAAATGGCTATTTATTTATTATTTATTTAATGTGGCAGTCATGGCTTATAATTTGGTATTTTGAAACAATCCATAATTTTAAACCCTCATCACATATTCTGGAGTTTGGGATATAGCTTGTGTTCTGTGGGTTGAATTAGGATGATTTAAATTAATGAGGAGCACTCGAAGTGTTACTTATGCTGAAAGGAAACCTACTCAATTTAAATGCTACTGTGAACTAGGAATTCAGAGCTGGATGTCATTGAATCCAAGTAACTTGCTTGGGCTATACAATGTTGTTTGGTAGTTTGTGAACAGTGAGTAACTACTTCACAAGCGTATATAGTACATTCTTAGATTCTTGAAGATAATCACTTAAAATACATAACTTGAGTCTTCTATTCCATTGCAAAAAGACTGAATAATAAATAAAATAATAAAATATTTATAAAATATTTTATAAAATATTTATAAAATATAAAATAATAAATAAATAATAAATAAAATAAAGATTTCAGTTCCATTGAAATGTGTCTATAAACTGTTTCTTCATGACACACTGAGTATATGGCTTCCAGATTACTGATGAAAAAATGCTTCATCTGTGAAAGTCAACCCTTGTTCTATAAACAAAGACAGATATTACCAAGGCTCAGGCTTCTGTTTTTGGAGATTAAAATCTGCATTAATATTTTTCTGTGTGCTAATTTAATTGTGGTTTCACACTGGAAAGTGGAAATGGCTGTTATGCAGTATTTCTGTGTTTACTGCCTGGTCTCTTGATATATGTATTGCTGATGCCTTTGGCAAGCTAGTATTTGCTAAAATCAGTAACAAAAATCTTTAATGTCTCTCTTCCTTATTTATGTAATTAATGGTCAAACAGCATGACTTAGAGGACAGTTTAAAAATCCATTTTGTCACAAAAGTATTCATTTGAAAGCACTTTTATTTCTTAAGAAAACTGCTATGTCATTTTTATCAAAGTAATTGACAGTCATAGAGGAAGTAGGAGGGTAGAAAGACCTTTTACGTCTTGGTAAAGACGTAAGGCCAGACTGAAATGTTGGCCTTATTTTTATCAATTTGTAGTTTGGTGAGTTGTGCGCTATGATTTTGATTTTTAAACAAGGCATTCCCTTTACCCTGTATGACAGCATACTTGCTGTCTGTCATGATTTTAGTGAGCAGTCACACATTTGAATGGGTTGTCCTTCAGCCCACGATCTGGGGGCAATACATAAGCAGCAGAGTTTCGTATTCCTCAGTGCACAGTAACATGCTTAGTGCAACAAGGGAAATGTATTGTAATGGAAGGAAGAAACAATTTTACAATGATAGTAGATGAAGTGGTGAGAGAATTTGTCAGTTGTATCTAAGTGAGAGGCTGGGGGGAAATTCAGGAGAGGTTTAACCAAACACATGATATGAAATTGTGGGTTAACTAGAAAGTCCATTTCCTTTCTGTTCTCATGGAATTTGGGCTACCATCTTTCATTTATAGCTGTTCTGAGTTGTTGTTTTTCTGAAGGTTGAATGTAGAAAACTTTTTTTTCTAACTAGAAGCCTAACATTTGCTGTTGATACTCATGTTGAAATGAATGACTTCATAACAACCTGGAAGAGTTTTAACTTTTATAAATAATATTTTATAGAAATTCAAGGACTGCATTGCATCACGGCTAATTTCTTAGCCTACCAATTTAAGAGAAAATAAAATATATTTGGTGTTTCTGTACCAAACCTCATGGCAGAGGAATTTTCTAGTACTATATCATAGGATATAAAATATGACTACCAAATGATTAGTGTTATACGTGGTATAGCTACTCGTATTGTTGGAATTAGAGATTTAAACATCTGGTAGGTACTAAAAACAGCTGTGCTAAATGTTTGTACTTGTAGGATTTTTTTTTTTTTTTCCGTTTTTAATTAGTGTTAATGCCTCTGCAGTTACAAAGGTAGTAGCTTCTAGCTGCTTTTTGGAAATAGGTGTCTTGTCCAGGATAACAATTTACTCTAATTCTCTTAGCTGCACATGTATCTTTCTGTTACCTTTTTTTTTTTTTTTTTTGGGGGGGGTGTTATTTGAATTAAGTAAACGCACTACATGCTGTGTAGTTATTAGGTATTACTGGTATATATCTCTCTCCTTTTTCAGCTTCAGTCTAAAAATTTGCTAAGCTTAATTCATGGAGTATGTGACTACCCCACTGCTACAACACCATAAGTAAAATTCAGTGTGGTTCAGTGTTTTTCCTGAGAACAAGATCTTGTGAAATTAGTGAGTGATTTGCATGTGACCACAGTTGACTGTTAAGATTTTTTAACTACTTTGAACCTGCTTCAATAGAAGTTAAAAATCAAAGGTGTTTTATTTATAATTGAGATTGTATCAAAGTTTTTGTTTTAGAAACAGAATGTGGAATTACATTAGTGTTATGGACTGCATCACTAGATGGTAAGAATAATAATTAAAAAAATAATAATAATAAAATAGCTGAGAGATTATTTTTTTTTTTTAAATCAGGGTATCATACATTCTTCTAATATAGTTAATAATAAAGTCTTGCAAAGCCTAAGAATGTAAAAAAGCTTTAGGGGTGCCAAAGTGATACCTTAAGGTAGAAGAACCTCAGCTAATAAGCTTTCTTCAAATAGCCATAACCTTTGTGAAAGTTTTAAAATGCAAAAACATGTAATAAGGATGTATACGACAAGAATCTTAAACTGTGATTCAGAACCTTGATGCTCTGGACTTGTAAAGAACAATATAGTATTCATCATAAGAGTCTGTAGGTTATTCGTTTTCAGTTGCTGCAAGTCAAATTCCTAATTGTTTATTAGGATGTAGAAACAACAATTTCGAGACAGATTACAACTTTGCTTTTATTCTGCTATTTTGTCTATGGTAATGATAAAGGACTTAGGACAAGCAGAAATAACTTACGAGATTTGTTGGAGGGAGGAACACAAAGCAAGTATTCCTGTAGATCTACAAACGTTATTTTCTTCCAGTTTGAGAGCTACATATCTATGTCTACTCTTCCTTCTTTCTCCGTTTTTGAAAATCACTTATTTGTGTGAGGAGCCTTTTTCCCAATACGTGGCTGCCTGGTTTCTTCAAAAACCTTTTGGAAAAGGCATTTTGTGCTTCTTTTAGGAAATCAGTTGGAACTTGCTGAGCAGATCTTACATGCTCACCTATTTCAAAAGACTCTGTGAGAACAAAGTCTACAAGAGATGAATTCCCCTAATAAGAGTGGTGTTGATTCTTCCTCATTAGATTATTTGTTGTGCCTAGTGCTATAATGAGTGTTGGCATTAGGCTGTTGATGTGTAATTTCTCAGATTTTTCATAGAGCCCTTCTTGAAAAATGTGTCCACTACATTCTGTTTCTGAAATGCTGTGGTAGTTTTGAAATGAGAGATTACATTCCACAATTAGCATCTCAATTACTTCAATTTTATATTCCTAGAGAGTACTTGGGTGATCTGTTACTGTTCATTTTGTCATTTTTTTCTAGGACATCTACCAACCCACCAATTAAAGAAGAGGTCCAGCGTGGGGAATTCCCCAAACTCCTTCACAGTAAAATCATGTAAAAATTTCACAGGGTTTTTGAATTGTAGCCTTACTTTCTCAAAATGCTCATTTCTTGCCTTTATTTTCCACAGAGACTCCTTGGAAGTTTTCCCACCACAGATTTGTTCTTAGTTTTTATGCTGCTTGCAAGGTATTTTAATTTTATTTATTTATTTATTTATTGTGATGTTCAATCTAAGTTCATGATCCTTTCATTTTTTCATAGTGGGACATTTCTCAGCTTTTTTTGAGGAGGCTTTCTGTCTTTTTTTTTTTTATTCTTCTTCCTTAGCAGCTTAGTCATGCTGCAGCTTTTCTTTCAGTTTTTCTCACATGGTTATTGATAAATGACACCTTTGATTTATCCCAGCTTGCTTCTTTGCTTTAATAGCTTGAATATTACTTATAAAACACTTTCTTTTTTTGTTTGTTTTCTGCTCATATTCTTCTCTTAAGTATTTTCTCATTTTGCATAGCTTCCTTTAAAATGTCACATATTAGTAAATATAATCAAGTGATGATGAGGATACTGTAGTTATTACACAAAATGGGGATTCTTAAATGGCTTGCCTATTTTGCTTATTCTGAAAAGGTTTTTTACCACCAAATCTGAAGATGGAGTGGCTTCTGGATTCTCAGTTCACAAGCTTAAATAATACTTTTCATATTAAATAACATTTTCATTTATGAAATGAAAATATGGAAAGGCTTTTTCAAAATTTGAATTTAATACTAGCTCATACTATCTAGTATTGAGTCAGTGCACTTGCTAAGTGGATTTATTTGCTAGGATCCAGATAGGATTTTACAGGATGGCTACAGAATAATTCTGCCATTTTGCATCCTTTTTGCTCTTGCTTGTTCCTAGAGAAACATCTGCAGATTCAAGAAGTATTCAGTTTCTATAAGAGGAGCAGAGGAAATGGAGTTAAATTTATGTGTGTAACCACTACTGCAAATGTAGAAATTTAAATCTAGTTTTTCTGTGGTTGAAATAATGGAAGAAGATTTCAAGACTCTTCAGGATTTACAGTTGAAGAAACTCTGTGAGCAAGTGCTTGAATTTTAAGAGATGTTTGCTCCAAAGTTCTCTTTTCTTCTTTGTAGCACCACCAGTTTTTATGAATGGTACAAGGCTGAAGTGATGGAATTGATATCACGATTCAGTCTCTCCTTGGACTTAATGGAAGCTCAGAATTGACAGAAATCATTCTGTTAGTAAATGTAAAATTTGACTCTGACTTAAATCTGGAAGACTTCTCAAAACTTGGCCTAGTCCCTATTTGTAAATGCATCCTTTGATGGTTTATTTTGGTTGTTTGGGTCAGCCCATCTTAGCCTGCTTGATTGCAGGTGAGGAAAGCAAAGACATGGTCCTGTTTTTATTGAAACGTTAGTATGCCAAAATAAAAATAAGAATAAAAATAGTGAAGATACAGCTTGGAAAGTTGTGGTCTCTCAAGAAAGGAAGGTAGAGAGAAGGAAAAGAGGAAGAGGATCAAGAGTGTCATTGTTAATTTAGGGCAGATAGGAGCTACTAAGGTTTCTGAGAGAAATTCCCTAAAACCTTTACTAAAATTTCTCTCGTATAAATAACTTGAACATAAGGATTGCTGTTTAAGAAATTGAATAATTGAAGTGATTTGGACATTTCTAAAATTCTGAAGACCTGATTTGATACTTGGCTTTGGGAGGCTTAACCATTAAAAAGTTATGTTGTGTTTATTTTGGTAAAGTTATATGAATTAGATTCATAACCAACAGACTCATAACAGACTCATGATCCTACCATATCCTTACAGTCTTCTTTAGTAGGAAGATTTGTAAGTATTAACACTTAAGTAATCATTCTTTTTGTAGTTATAAATTTGAAAGCTTATAGTTTCTTTTTGATTTAATGTTTACATCAGTAGTCTACAAGTTGGTCTGGATATGAAATGTGTGGATGTATATTTCATTTTCTCATACACTGTGCTAAAGAAGGCTGAGTCCTCGATCATTTGCATCAGTTCAGTTACATGAGATGTGACTGATTGAGGTGAAGCAGATTACTAAAGATTGTCCTGAATTCAGTAGGTTCTTTACTACAATGATATGCTCAGTGGAAAATTTTGTTTCTGTTTTTGTTGTTTTGATTGTGTGTTTTTGTTTGTTTTGATTTTTTTTCCAGGTAGTTTTAAGAATGAAATGCTTATTAACTTTAATTATTAAGAATTGATTTTTTTTTGTTTATACTTTCTTTTTCAGTAGCTGTTAATAAAAATTAATGTGTTTTTTCAGTAAGCAGTGTGGGCTCTGGGCCTCTATTGGAAATAGTCTGTTCAGGTTCCTCAATGTTTTTCAGTATGACCAACTTAGAGATTCTTGATTTATTTTTTTTTCTCAGTTGGTATCTGTAGTGACCAGATAAAAGCTATAAACAGATCATTTCAGCTATGGTGCCTTTTCTATGTAATAAAACAACGGAAAGATAAAAAGATGGATGTCTAATATGTCATGCAGAACCTGGATCTGGTTTAAATCATCTTTGTACAGTGTACCAAAGAGACACAGAAATCTGGCAACAGTGTTGAGAACAGAAATGGGTAAATCCACCAACTAAACTGCAACTAAAAACACAAACTATCTCAACTGCTTGAGGTCACCTACAGGTAACAGAATTGAAGAAGAATCTGTCCTTACTGTGATTTCAGGTATTTCTACTAGTGATAGTAATAGCTGATGTTGACTGAAAAACTGTGAAAGAAATCTTATTTTCTCATCTTCTGAGAAGCATAGCAGACACAGTTATTTTTCTGCGTTTTTTTTTTTTTTTTTTTTTTTTTTCCACTGAAGTGGTAAATAGTTGAGAGAGGCACACAGACACTAGGGAACAATATTTGGCTTCAGCAGTTATGTCTGGAAGTTGTTTTCTTTTTTCTTTTTTTTTTTTTTTTTAAATATATATTTTGGTGTGTTTCTGTAGTATTTGAGGAAACTTTAAAATCTGTGTTTTTATATGAATTTACTAGTTCCTTATAATAAGAAGAATTGAAAATTTCAGCTTTTAATTTTTAAAAGACAAGTGATTGAAAATATTAAGGTTTTTGTTATGCCACTTAGGTTTATTATACAATAAATTGAATCCTGAAGAGCAGGTGAAACATTGCGCTAGAACTGTGGTAATATTCTTTTGAATATCATCAAACTATTCAAACCAGCCATATAAATTTCTCTCCTATTCAGTTCTATCATAAAATAGTAAGTGTTGGGGGAACACACAGCATCATCAACTTGTTGGATTCTTGAGACACAAAGTGGTTTAAAGGAGATTAAGAAAATATAACAAAATGCATGAAGTGCAGTGCTGGTCTTCCTACTTTTTTTTTTTTAATCAAATAAAAACAGAGCTTTGCTAAATTCCTGTGGAACTTTAGCTGTGAGCAGCTGTTGCTGATTGGTAACAGACATCTTTTATCAATATTGTAGGACTTTCACTGTTTCTGCAGGTTAGAAGGACCAAGTCTGTCAGTCAAGAGAGCTGTCTTTTTGCTGCTTACTAGGATAAGAGGACATGGAACCACTGCTATTTCTGGAAATTTTGTTCTAACGTTTTAAGCTTTATAAGCAGTGCAGTACATAAATGAGTACATTGTTGCTGTGGCTAGAAGAAATACCAACTTTAATCTGACAGCCAAGTGGTATGTTATATATTTTGACACGTTTTCAAAACAGTGAGCAATGCCTCCTTTCCTTCGATGTCTAATTAGTGGCATCCCTGCTGCATTCTGTGGCCACTGAAGTGTCTAACCCAGTTCACTTGCAGTTGTTGATCATCCTTCTGCTACTGCATTCTGTCATCTGACTGTCATTGCTTGTGGATTGTGACCTAAAGTAATTGTGTAGGATACTGCCCCATGTATTTTTTTTTCCTAAAATCATGCTGCTTCTCCTTTCACTGAGCTGTGGTGCTTCTAATGATATTCGTATCAACTGCTCATCAAAAAGGAAAAAAAATACAAAAATAAAAAACCCTCACATCAGTACTGACTGATGCACAAAGCAGAGCAGGGAACAGAAACACACTTGTCTGTGTTTGCTTTCTGTGACTGATATTAAAGCAAAAGGGAGCCTTCAAGCAAAGTATTGGCAGGCTATCCTTTTACAAGATGTATCAGACAGCTGCTATGTATAGTACTAACCTTGCAGCATGATTAAATATCACACTTCCTCCTTTCACCAGCTGAGACTAAAACAGTGTTTTGGTATCTGCTTAATGCTCACTGCCTCCAACACTGTCCTTGCTTAAATATGTTCTCTCTAGATCATTATTCCTCCTTCACGTTCTCTCTAAATCATCCTTCTTGAAGCATCTGGTATTTCTTACGACCAGTACACACAAGGTGTGAGCCCAAGCATATGCTCCTGCATGAGCTGCTGTAGTGGAAAATAACACCGAGCAGAGCCAGTTCAGCAGGTATCACCCTTGGAAGGAGAGGAAAAGTTGGTCAGCAACCCCTCAGGCATGTTCCTTTGAACTGCACAGCTGCCCTTGATCTGTGGAGCAGAGACCAGCCTGCACTTGGTATCACTTCTGTAGGCTCTATTTTTCACCTGATCTGAAACCAGTTGGGTGCTGTCTACAGTGCTGAAGGATTTAAAGGTTATTTGGAGATGCTTTGTCAGTAATTTAACTTCTTCTTTTATGGGATAGGTTTGTGACATACAATAAGGGAAGCCTTGTTTAGTCACCAGGCATGAAGTTGACTGTGAAGCAGTATTGTCTCAACAGCTAGCAATTTGATTTTTCTCTTGTCTCTCAAGGGTCTTGCTATATGAAAATGTCACTTGCTCTGAAATGATTTTAGTTTAACTCCTGAAATTTTTTTCCATGTTAAATACTGAACTTCTCGTTGGTGAGAGATATACAACCTGTAAAGCTGTTAAGAGATACCTGTAGGCTCGTTTAGTTGCATACAGTATAGAAGTGGAGAGGTCATACTGCTTTCTGTCATAGCTAAGTTAAAAAAGTTGCTGGAATTCATATGCATCTAATACTATGCTTCAAGAATATTTTAAGTATTTCTACAGAAAGTATGTGTTGAAAGATTTATAGTGGTGACTGGGAAGAAAATGTTTTGGTAAAATGTCTTGTGCTGTTACTTCTTTGGC